TTTATAGCGCGGTACACCGCGCTGTACATAAAAAAATATTATCAAAAGAGACATAATCATGACATTAAAATAAAATACAATTATGAAATAAATATGAATAAAAGAAAAATCATCCATTCAAACTTGACAGAGGTTTGTCATGACTCATCAAAGAGTTTTCTGGTGAACAATAGCGCTAGTTTGAACGACTCCTGCCAAGTTCCTGCTTCGACTGAGAGGTTGATGAGCTTGTCGCCAAGATCCTTTTGCTCCAAGAAGAGGTCTACCTCAGACGGCGTTTGACTAATGACTTGTGTGCAAATTTTGACGACTCTACACAGAGTTTTACTTCATATACCCCAGCCAAATCTTCTCAAGACTTCAACAATAGTTCACCTACCAAGGTCCAAACTTCTACATCAGACATTACTGATGACATACAAGACTTCATGCTTTTAAAATCGGAAGGATTTGTATCACTGCCAGATCATTTTTCCAGTCTACGACCAATCAAAATTTTACGAGATACAGGTGCTTCACAGTCTTTGCTACTTGAGGGTATACTTCCCTCGTGTGAAACTACTGCTACTGGGTGCAACATCCTGTTACGAGGCGCAGAGCTGGATTCAATGATTTACCTTTACATCTCATTAATTTCAAATCAGATCAGAACCTGTGGTTGTGGGTGTCTGATCAACGTTACAATATGACGGCATTTCGTTGCTGCTAGGCCATGACTTAGGTGACAGCCGTACCCATCGTTACTCATGAACCTTGTTTTAGTGAATCTCAAGAATAAGATTCAGAATTAAATTTAGCATGTGGTGTTACCAGGGCCATGAGTTCGAAAATCACCGAAAAACAAGTTTCACCAAAAAATATTTAAAGTAAATCCTGGAATTGATCTGGGACAACTTTTTTTTTTGCAAATCTTAATGAAGAGACAAATAATCACAACTAACTCGGATGCAGTTAATGAAGATCAGAAGAGTGATCCGGAAATATTTAAACTTCGAGAGAATGCTTTGACCCAAAAAGAAGCTAAACAATTCCCTGTATGCTATTACCTACAAGATGACATACTTATGAGAAAGTCTCCAGACCCAAAAGCTGACAAATAATGCATGATAGTTCATCAGATGGTAGCTCCTACACTTTCCCGTAACGAAGTCCTGAACTTAGCCCGTGATTCATTACTTTCAGACCATTTGGGAGTAAACGAGACTTAACACAAAATCACGCCCCCCCCCTTCTTTTGGCCCAAAATTAAATCAGGAAAGAAGTGATTGAGTACTGCAATATTATATCATTCATTTTAGATGGTAGGGAAACCAAATCAGAAGATATCAGCAGCCCCTCTTCAACCCATTCCAGGGTTTGAAGAAAAGTTTCATTCGCGTGTTAATAGACTGCGTTGGATCTCTCCCAAAGACAAAATAAAATCATCAATATATGCTGACAATCAAGTGTGCGCCCACAAGGTTCCCAGAAGCCAAAACTCTTTGCAATATCAAAACTCCGAACATTGTCAAGCCTCGGTGGCGTTTTTTTTACAATGTTTGGTTGTCCCCCCCCCACCCACCCCCTCCCCCCCCCCGAAGTCCGTAAAGTCTGATCAAGGAACTAACTTCAATGCCGGGAAATTCAAACAAAGATGAACCAATTGGGCATGGAACACTGCTTGAGTTTGGATATACGGCTTACGGCACCCTTAAACTCTTAAAAGACACGTGGATGTCATCGAGAACCACTGAAGAACTTTTGGGCTATATCTTAAAGTTTAAAACTAAAAATTTTAACGCCGTTAATTTGGCTGAATCTCATTTAAAAGATTCTCAATCTATAATGAAAGTGTGGTACGAAAAAATTTTTCCAAATTCAACCATGTTTTCTTCAGGGGACAAAGCACTTGTACTTTTGCCGATACCAAGGGCAAGCACTACAAGCTTAGATATTTTGGTCTTTTTGCAGTAGAGTAAGAGTTAATGACTTAAATTACATTGTATTAACCCCATAACGTAAAATAAAGAAACGGTTATCTCAAATTAACATGTTAAAAGAATATGTTCAAAGAAAATGTGATGATAATTGTCCATCCATAGAAACTAATGTTAACACAATCTCAACTGTAACGCCAGAACCTAAAGGAAATGTTACTGAAACCTTTGATAGTGTCCCAGAAAAAGTTGGTAATTACAAACTTAGAAATTCAGAAGTATTGGCCAACTTAGATAAGAAACTAGGAATGTATCATTGTCAGAGAAAGAAGTTGTTAAGTCTGTTATTCCAGATTTTGTTTTACTGTTCCCTGACGCGCCTAATAAATCCAAAACTACTCTTCATGATGTTGACATTGGCAATGCAGGTCGGGTCAAGCAACACCCCTATAGGGTCAATCCGGAACAAAAAAAAAACTTAAAATAATCCGGTCTGAAATAAAATAAACATTTTTATTTCAAATTATAGAGTGGCTCTCAAGCTTGGGTTAGGGTTGAGATGTGTTTATAATCTTCATCTTATATATTTTAAAGAACAATTCGACGTGTAATAAGTGGATCTGCAGTGTGTATTTAAAATTAGTTCCCCTTGAAGCGAGATGGTTTTTTTTTTTTTTTTTTTTTTTTTTTTTTTTTTTTTTTTTTATATATTAAAGTTATTGAGTGGTTCTCAATAATGTGTTAGGGGTCAGTAGTCACAAGGGGTGAATGATACAGTGAAAGAAAGGGTTCGCCAGGCAATTGGGGAGTACGATGACCTACTGCTGACTGTGAAAAAACGAAAAATTACAATGGTACGGCCACGTAACAAGGAAACAAGGGCTTGCCAAAGAAATATTGCAGAGCACTACAAGAGGAGGGAGAAGAAGAGGAAGACAAAGAAAAAGGTGGGAGGATAACATAAAAGAGTGGACAGGATTAACACTGGGCGATGCAGTGCGTAGTGCTGAAGACAGAGAAGAATTGAGGAGGATGGTTCACATGTCATCTGTGGCGCCCCAACGGTCCAATGACTAATGGACATGAGGAGGATGGTTCACATGTCATCTGTGGCGCCCCAACGGTTCAAGGACTAAGGGACATGAGGATGAAGATGAGCCATAAGGGGTGTGTATTTTTTCCTTCTTTGGAAATATTTGTCTTGTAGTATGAATGATTTAATTTATTTGTCTTTTATGGTGCAATTTTTTTAAACATAAGTTATAAATTAGTGGTTTGGAAGTATGTATTTCTAATGAGTGGTCCTGTAGTGTGATGGTTTTAAATAAATTTATATTTTTTTAGTGGCTCTTGAATTTGGGTTAGCGATCACCTAGTATAAGGGCGGATGCTTTGTTCTCCCTTGGAAATACTTGTCTTGTAGTAAGATTTTTTTTTTCTATATAAAGTAGTCCTCAAGCATTGGTTACGATGGCTTTCGATGTTGTAGTTGGTCCATTTCTCTGATGTTTATTATATAGAAGAAACATCATCTTATTTTTCCTATAAATCAGCGGTTGTCAACCTTTTGGGTCGCGACCTCTTTGAAATGTCAAACGGCCCTCCTATAGTGGTCACCTAAGACCATCGGAAAACCCACATTTATTAAGTAGCAGCCATATTTTGTGGTTGGGGGTCACCACGACATGAAGAACATGAAGAACTGTATTGAAGGGTCGGGGCTATAGAGAGTTTTAAAAACAACTGCCCTAAACTATACCTTATGAGGTCAATGATGGGCGGGTTCTTTCCAGTCATGTCACGGTTGTTTGTGGGTTGCATTAGGGCATTGCATGTCAGCACTACAAATAGTCTTAAGATATAGTTGGTTTCAACATGGGCTTTTGAATGTCTAAGCCTAAGGGGGGTGTTTTTTTTAATTTAATTTATCGCTTTGAGATAAGTCCGAAAAACGGGGGATGCAGCAGTACGTACAACACAAGAGGTGTCATTTAGTTGAAATATTTTATTTTTTTTTTTACATTTTAACAGTTCAAATACAACAATAGTTATTTAAGTATTTTAGTATTTTAAGATTTACAAAATACATAGAAGTATATTAAGAATATTTAGTAATGTTAAATACAAGTTCAAAAGTTGGCAAAATCAAAGTGGTCCACTTAGTCATGTTGATGGTGCTAGTGCTGCATATGACATATAGGTTCCGAAAAAGTAACTAAATAGCCAGAAGGAATGTTTGTAAAATGGCCGGCAATGCACCTGTATTTGTATATAAAAAAAAGAAAAAAGAAAGAGACTTTGTGTGTTGTGTGTCTGTTGAAACTTCGGAAAACTTGTTTTGAAACCTACGTCTTTTCTCGACCCCAATTTGTTTTAATTTGAGAACACTCACACAACTTTGTTTGTCTAAGGGATTGTCTGGGTCCCAGCGGTTCTCTTTAAATATATTTTCCTATCACTACAATTCTAAAAATTTAATTTGATATGGCCGTGTCGCTGACGAATGTGAAAATATGAAAGTCGCAAACAATGGAGTGGAGCCAACCGGTGGAAGTGGGAGTTCATTGATTATTATTGTTCGTCCGTCGAGTCCTCTGGTGACTGATGACTTGCGCGGGTGACTTTGTTTTAACGTGAAGAAGAGTTGCGCGGCGTCTACCTCACTCTCTCGTCCTGGCCCACCATATCCAGTGGCAAGACTCTACGTCAAGACGACCAGGGATGGGTACGGTTGCAGGAATTGTCATTGTATGCGCCTTAAGGGACTCCAGCGCCGGGTTTGATTTCAGAGTTCAGGAGTTTATTAATTAAAGACCTAATGGCCCTCCAAGAGATATTCGTGTGTTTTTTCTTATTAATCGGTGTTAATAAGATACACGTGTTCCTCCTTAATGGCGCTGCCACGAGACAGAGAGTGTGTTAAGCAATACGGTTTTATTTTACAAATATTCCATTACGTATATTTTACGCACAGTTACTCCAAAACACCACTTTTAGAACCATTGATTGTATATGCTTATTCAATCTGTTTAAACTATCCACGTAATATGTTTATGAATAATCTGACATTTCAATTAAATGTTAGATTAAAGAACAGCCCGCCTGAGCTCATTGTTCCTGCAGGTGTTTGTTGAGGCAAAGTCGTTTACTATGGCTGCTTTGGTATGTACATATTGTATGCATATATGTTTTGATATTTATCGCTGATGTATCATATGTTTTGTGTTAATAAACAAACAGAAATGTAACACACAAAAAAAGTGACGACTGGTTTAAAAATAGACGGCATTGCATTAAGTGTCTATATTTCTAAGAAAGCAGTTCAGTAGCTCGATTGCCTCTTTCTCGGAATCGTGATGTGTTTTCAGAAGCATACGTCACGTCCGCATCTTAACCTTGAACTGTAAAGACTTTTAAAAGATGTAATTAATGCTTGGTAAAATTTTTAAAGAATCATTTTTTTAAAGTTTTCACCTAATATTCTTTTAGTTCTTGAAAACCATTGTCTCAATAAGATACTTCGGATGACATTTCCATGAAGTAGTTGACAGTGGTCTTTTTAAATTCCCATATCTTGCAAGCAGTGTCTCAAGCTCAATCTCAAGTAATATAGAGATGAACTGCAGGAGCCCCTAAATAAAACCCTAAGGTTCTTGAAAGCTATAAACAACGCGCCTTCTATATCATCGCTACATTGACAATAGACAGTCACACGAACCAGCTTGCATCTAGAATGCATGTGTCTTGGTCCTTGAAGGTGTAAACAGCGAGTTCCGCGTCAAATGAAGAGACACATGTCCTAAAAGGGATAACATCAGACAAACGTTACTATTTTAGCCTACAAAAGCTACTGGGCAGAAAAAACCTCTCACGGGTAATAAAGAAGACAGAATACGCCACTATCATACGACCGGTAGTATCTTACGCTTAGATTTGGATCCTTGCCAAAAAAAAAAAAGCAGAGGACCTTCTCAAATACATGCAAGAGGAAAATCCTCAGAAAAATATGTGGCAAAGTGATAGAAAAATGATGTCTGGAGAAATCGTACAAAGAGCTATACCAATTCTACTAAGACACAGCCATAATCGCAACAATAAAAAAAGGCAGACTGCGCTGGGAAGGACATATTGAAAAGATAACGGAAAATAGTAAAGCACACACGTGATATACAAGTAGAAAACTAGGGGCAGACGACTCGCCGGTAGCCCAAGGCTGAGATGGATCGAAGATGCAGAGAAGAATTAACACACTGACTGTTAGGGGATCGCGCATGGAGGCAGAAAGCCGTGGATCGTTCCAAATGGAAGTATGTGGTGGAGCTGGCCAGGGCACTAATTTATCAACAGTTGAGCAGCTCGACTGCTTCTTTCTCGGAATCGTGAAGTGTTTCCCTTGAAAAACGTCACGCCGCCATCTTAACACTAAAGAGTATGTACTTTAAAAGATTCATTAATAATTGTTATAATTTTCAAAGAGCAGTTTCAAATCATTCACCTAATATTCTTTGAGACCTTGGAAACGGTTGTGTCTCTTGACTACTTTAGATAGATACCGGTATTCCCATCATGTCATGAAGTCCTCATCATGGTCCTCTTACGTTCATATACCTTGCAAGCGACATATCCGGGTCAATCTCAATTGACATGGAGATAAACTACAGGATCGCCAAGTCAGTTAGGCTGAAATAAAAACCTAAGGGTCTTGAAAGATACAATCAATGAATATGAATAACGGTCTTTAGGACTTCATGCTCAATACACCGCCCATAACATTAACGTTACACTCACAACGGTCTAATACGGACCATCCTGCAGCAAGGACGCGTGGGACATTAGTAGCTATATAAGGTCCACTCAAGTCGTAAATGAGGCGCGCCTGCAGGCTTAGTTAACATGTCTTAATTCGCCATAAAGTAATAGTCTGCTGGCATTGGTGGCTTTATTAAGAAAGGGGCAATAACTGTTTTGTTACTTTTGTAATTAATGTTTAAATTAGTATTCTCCCCTTGGTGCCTTGTGCTTTAAAGCTTTTAGAAAATGAATTGTCTTTTAACGAGTGGTTCTCATTATGTGAGGGTCTCTTTTTGTTTGTATTTAAAACTTAATTAGTATTATCCCTTTGTTATTTTTTAATTTTTTAACTTTTGAAAATATTGGTTTATAGTAGACTAGACAAATTTCATCTTGTACAAACCATCTTGATGTTTTTTTTAACGAGGGGTTCTCAAGGCGGTGGGGGTCATTGTGTGTTAATTTATTTTTTGTTATATTTTTTAAATACATTTTCTTGTGGTTGAACTATTTTATATTGAGTGATCTGAAAGTGTATGGGGGGTGGGGGGTGGGGGGGTGGGGGGGATTCATGTTGTGTATTTTCTATTGAGTGGTCCTCACTTCTTATAGTTTCTTAATTGTGTTGTTGTTGTTTTTTTAAATCTTATTGACAAATATTGGTTTGTAGTAGACTAATTATATCTTGTAATAGGATGTTTTTTAACGAGTGATTCTTAAGAGGGTGGAGGTCATTTTGTCTTTATTTATTTTTTAGAATATTTTTTAATAATTTTTTTTGTAAGTTAATTATTTTATTTCTAGTGTTTCTTAAAGTGTATGGGGGGGGGTGTCCTGTTGTGTATTTTCTATTGAGTGGTTCTCACTTCTTGTAGTTTTCCTAATCGTTGTCTTGTATTTTTATCTTATTGACAAGAGTTGATTTGTAGTAGACTACATTTATCATGTTAAAAGGTTAGTTTGTTAACGAGTTCTTCTCAAGAGATGGGTGCCATGTTGTCTTTTATTTTTTTGTTCTTATATTTTAAAATAAATTTTCTTGTAGTTTAATAATTTTATTTTGAGTGATTGTTAAAGTGTGGGGGAGTCTTGTTGTGTATTTTCTTTTGAGTGGTTCTCACTTCTTATAGTTTTTTTCGTAAAGACAACTTAGAAATATAAAACAAAGCGATAGCGTATAGTTTGTATAGTATTCCTATGGGTTGGCTGTAGCAGTAGTATATTGGCTTTTTAAAAAAAATTGGTTTAATGACTCTCGAGTTTGAGTTAGGGGTCAGTAGTCCTGATGGATGTTTTTAATCTACGTCTTTTCTATTTCGAGGACCAATTTTATGGCTAATTAATAATTTTGTAGTGTGTATTTTAAATACGTATTCTAAGTGAATTATATTTTGAGGGGTAACCAAGATTGGGTAAAGAATCGTTAGACATTTAGACATAAGGGCGGGTGTTTTTATTATTTTTAGAGATTGTTTTTATGGTGTGATAGCTTAAATCTTGGGGCGTTTGAAACATCTGATTTGCGATTTAAAGTTTAGCTCTGATGAAATTCATACAATTCCTCTTTATTTGATTTTAGTGGGAATGTTCAATTTGAAATTTTAAAACTATAAATGTGCATTTAATTTCGCAAAATAAAAAACAAAATTAAATGTGCATTTAATTTCGCAAAATGAAAAAAAAATCTATAAATGTGATTACGAATTTATAATAGATTTGAATAGATTATTATTCATTGATAATAAAAATAATATTTGAACCTTCTAATCAGGGGCGACGCCATCAAATTTAACATGGCAGGTCCCATGCATGTCTTAAAAAAAAATTTTGCGGGTCCCAAATAAATGTATTAAAAATAAAATTTATTTATCAAGTAATATTTATTAATCTACTAACTTAACCCAAAGTTTACATGCATTGTCAATTTTCATAATAAATTTATTTGAATGTATCAAATTTCGCGATATTTTTGCGTACGTAATATATGGATGGCCTCTTACAAGTTACAAACTAAAATTCTATATATATTACATTTTATGACGTTATATTGACTTTTGTTGTGGATAACAATTTAAACATATAAAGGCATTTAAAATGGAAGTCCTCTTACATGTAATGTAGTTTACGCTTAATGAGCATATATACAATATTAGTAACTAATAAAAATTGACCAGGTCATTTGCCAGGTCCCAAGTTTTGTTTACCAGGTCCTGGGACCCGGCGGGACCTGGTGTAGCGTCGCCACTGCTTCTAATTTAGATGAAATAGTTATCTCATTGTCATATTAATGTGTTTCATGAATAGAATAATAATTATAAGACATGTAATTAAGTTAGAGGGATTTCTTTCTTCTTTCTTTGTAAACTTAATAAGAAAATCTGTCACAATCTATTCTTGAATGTTCATAACTTGCCGTTTATTGTTTTGTTTTTTTAGTTTATATTTAATGTACACAATAAAAATTATTTATTGAAAAAGCCATGTTTCATACTGCTAGTACGTGCATTTTTATCTATTTAAAACCAGAAAAAAATGTTGATGCTGTTTTTAATCGGTAACATCGGCTCTCTGAACAGTCAAGGTAAGTGTCGTTTTTTTTTCTCCAAGAAATATCAATGAAGTCAAAAGTGTTCAGTTATATCAACTGAAATGTTCATTTTTTATAAACTCAGTTATGATAAATGTATTTGTCAATTATTATAAAATTATATTGTGCATTATGCTAAAAGTAGTTGTTTATTATTATAAACTATTGTTCAAAATTATAGAATCTGTTGTTATTTAGTATAAACTAAAGTTTTTGTCATGACAAGCTTAAGAGAGAGTTAAAAAAGGTTAATATAAAATTATTAAAATGTGTTAGACTGCGATAAAGCTTTAAAACAGATTAAGTAAATACGAACAATTTGTGTCAATATAACAATATAAGTTAAGCTTTTAACTTATCACCCTCACAATCTGATTGCTAAACGTGTTTTCCTTAAAAATCGATCTATACTACTCGCAGACACCGACCCACGAGAAATTTTCTCTTCACCACCTCTCATTGTTTTCAGACGGGATAAAAATCTGAGAGACCTGCTTGTACGCAGTCGTATCAATGCTCCCCCCTCCCACTTTGGGACCAAGTGGTGTGGACGCAGTCGTTGCAACACGTGCCCTTTTGTGCCCTTCAATAGTAGCGACCACCAGGGCAAGGTGGACTTTTCAATAAGTGCGATTGTGGATAGCACGAAAACCGCAAGACGGGTCAATTTGGAACACAGACTTATCCTGACGTAAGGCACTTTGACGCCAGATGGAAATAATGTTATGTCTCTGTTCACAGCTTGACCCTAGCTCCGCCCCTCCACGTTCTGACCTATCACAGTGAACATTTTTCTCCCCCTTTTTTCGCCGCTGCTTATTTAAACTCTCACTTATTTTCCCTCTGACACACTTCTATTGTTGCCCACAGATACTACTTACCAGCTAAGTGCTATTTCTTATTTTTATTTTTATATCGTTTTTTCTGTTGTTTTGTTCACTGACGAAGGCTTTCTGCCGACACGTTAGCTGTTTTTGTTGCGTTTATTTTTTCAGGTTTAACCCTACTCTGTTTTACTCATTTTATTTTGTACTAACCTGATTGCAGTCTCTCCCCTTATTACCCCTCAATAAATCTCAGGCGCGGTCGTCCAATATGTCTTGTCCCCTCTGCCAACTAATCTTTGGGATATGTCCTTCCTCCATTCTCCTTACATGACCTAACCAGCGAAGGCGTCTCTTGATAAGAAAGGAGAATATGCTTTAATAATAATTTTAAATAATACACAAGTATCAATTTCGGCACAAGCCTTCATCAAAGCAACCACAAAAAAAAAAATAATTAAATAAGTATAAATTAAATTTACATAATATACAGGGTGGACCAATAAAAGTGAGAACATCTCGTAAAATATTACGCTACAAAATGTTCTCACTTTTCTTGGCCCACCCTGTATATATATATATTCATTTATCCTAACAAAAAAAGTGAAGAAAAAAATAGGAGTAAAGAAGGATGGAAAAAAAAAAAGTGACTTAGAGTGAAATGTAACAAAAACCAAACCGGAAAAACACATGGCAGTTTCGTAAAATTGTAGATTTGGTTTATCCCGAATCGAGTCAACGTACCAAATCTTGTTATTATTAAAGCTTAACTTATATTGTTATATTGACACTATTAATCACTAGTATTTTTTTATATCTTTGTTCTTCACCATATAAAAACAATTTAAAAAAAAACAACAAATCTGAATGACTGGGCTCTCTTAATCTATTTTAGAAAAAAAAATTAGTTGATGTTTCTGCTTAATCCTTTTAAGAGCCACATAAAAATAGTTAAATGACTTTATCTCGAAATAAATTATAATTCTTGTCTTTTTAAAAGCAACAGTTGTTCTCATTTTCATCTATATTTTAATCTATAAATAAAGATATCGGTCTGGATACGATTCCTACAATAACAACTTCAAATTTATGTAAACCAAAAATTATATGTTGCATTAGAGTCTCATGTGAGGGTAGCAGTCATTGTCTTTTTTTTCCCCGCACCTATTCAAAACCGTGACCCTGATATGTGTTTAGATCTTACCAGTGGCTAACACTGAAAGCCTATATATGTATTTTTTTTTTAAAATATCGTGTATTTTCAGAAACAAATCCGTGCAAATATATGAAGAATGGAGTAGCTGTTCACCCTGAAACCTGTAGCAAATACTATCAATGCAAAAATAACAAAGGAACCGAAAGAGAATGCAAACACGGTGAAGTCTTTACTCCAAAGGTAAAAAAAAAAAAAAAAAAAAAAAAAAAAAAAAAAAAAAAAAAAAATAAAAAAAAAAAAAAAAAAAAAAAAAAAAAAAAACAAAAAAAAAAAAGGAACCAAAAAAAAAAGAAAAAACGGTAAAGTTTTTAATCAAAAGGAAAAAAAAAAAAAAAAAAAAAAAAAAAAAAAAAGAAAAAGCAACATTTATATTTAGAAGATATATTTAAATATAAAAGCCATATTCCCTTTATCGAAAGACTCACTGACCCGCCGGTCACCAGATCTCACGAGCAACGAGCGTATTCCAGTTGAAATGTTTCATCGTTTTTAAAGAATTATATGACATGTTTTTTTGTTTTTTTTAACAGAGCTTTCTGTAAAGCAAGAAACGCAAAACAATTATCGAACTTTCAGATTGTACCATGCACAACAATAAATGTAGAATTATGAAGCCGCACTGGATTAAATCCCCTCCATGACAGACGAAGAGACGACTTTGCAGTAGTCATTGATTACTACGCTGGTGCGACGCACACAGGCATTAATGCATTCCTAGGCAAGTCCTCAAACGTGAAACCAAATGTTCCTTGAATCCTCACATGACCCTGTCTGTGTCGGGAAGCGGGGTACGTTTGCCGTGACATAAGAGAAGGCAACATGGTTACACTGTAAAACAATTTCTCTACTTTTCCTCAGCTGCAAAGGGCTGTCACCCGCGATTCCAGGGTGTTGCTAACAGCATCTACCCAGTGTTTAGTTGTTGTTTCCAGCGCGGTCGTTCAATTGTAGGCCTGATTATTTTTTGCTACGCCAGGTTCATGATGCGTTTGGTGAACAGCACATACCACCTGTTGTTTCGGTAATTAGTCTCCCTTTCGGTCGTCATGTTTCAGATGTCTTAACAACATTTTACAACATGAGTCGCCTGCATAGTTGCGTTTCGGTGATGGTGAATTTTGATTACTGCTTTCTACAAATCATTTTGATGTGTTGAATATTCAATCCTCAATACTTCAAACATAATGTTAAATTATTTGTCGAGACACATAAACTTATTTGTTGCTTCCCATTCGGTAGCTTAGAGGATGAGGAAAATTTTAACTTTTAATGATTCGATGCTACGTTTATTTTGATTAGAGTCGATTCCCTCCAAGTATTGTTGTATTCATTAATATTTTTTTTACAAATTCCCCAACCATCAGAGCAAAACGTGCGTTAAGGAAAGTAAATACCAGTGTCCGATAACAACGACTACCACTACAACAACCACCGAACCAGCTACCACAGGTGATTTTCCTATTCCTTTACATTTATCTACAACGTCTTGTTCTCATGCTCAGTTTAATTTATTGGTAGCGATATTTTAAAGGTTCTTTGATAAAACAGGATAACAATGAAAAATTCAATGATCTCAACAAGTCATCATGACATTTTATTTAAAATAATACACGTGAGACATCGGGAGACGAATTGGGGGGGGGGGGGGGGCGGAGGAATTATCATGACATGAATTTCACATTTACTACCAATAACCCGTGGGAAAACAACTTCGTAGAAACACGCAAATCCAAAACAAATAATAACTAACACTTTGCCCGACGAGAAAGCATACAACCACAAAATACTGCGAATGTCGGTGATTTTAAGTCCCGTCCCCTTCCATCGGGATGGCCAAAAAACAATTCAACAACGCTGACAAGAGGATAAAATAAATCGCTATGTCGAAAAATAAACATACACTCTTAGGGTCCGAGCTCATTTCACTCTCATCAAACCAGACCCCCTCCCCGTACTCTCTTCAGAATTAATAGTGTACATATACAGCAATGTCTTGTGTTGGACGCACGAGGTCAGATATCCCTGACCACATTCTCATGGCGCGAACAACACCGAGTAAAAAAATATTTTTTTTTAAAAACAATGACGCTGTGGAATAAAAGAAAATGATAACCCTTTTTAAATAATGTTTACAAATCAAGAAGCGATGTAGTACTTTGTAACATCACGCAAAACAAAACCACAGATGATGTCTGCGAATAGATCCTCGATGTAGTACTTTGTGACATCACGCAAAACAAAACCACAGATGATGTCTGCGAATAGATGCTCGATTTAGTACTTTTTAACATCACCCACAACAAAACCACAGATGATGTCTGCAAATAGATCCTCGATGTAGTACTTTGTAACATCACGCAAAACAAAACCACAGATGATGTCTGCGAATAGATCCTCGATGTAGTACTTTGTAACATCACCCACAACAAAACCACAGATGTCTGCGAATAGATCCTCGGTGTACTACTTTGTAACATCACCCACAACAAAACCACAGATGATGTCTGCGAATAGATCCTCGGTGTACTACTTTGTAACATCACCCACAACAAAACCACAGATGATGTCTGCGAATAGATCCTCGGTGTAGTACTTTGTAACATCACCCACAACAAAACCACAGATGATGTCTGCGAATAGATCCTCGGTGTAGTACTTTGTAACATCACCCACAACAAAACCACAGATGATGTCTGCGAATAGATCCTCGATGTAGTACTTTGTAACATCACCCACAACAAAACCACAGATGATGTCTGCGAATAGATCCTCGATGTAGTACTTTGTAACATCACGCAAAACAAAACCACAGATGATGTCTGCGAATAGATGCTCGATTTAGTACTTTGTAACATCACCCGCAACAAAACCACAGATGATGTCTGCGAATAGATCCTCGATGTAGTACTTTGTGACATCACTCACAACAAAACCACAGATGATGTCTGCGAATAGATCCTCGATGTAGTACTTTGTAACATCACCCACACCAAAACCACAGATGATGTCTGCGAATAGATCCTCGGTGTAGTACTTTGTAACATCACGCAAAACAAAACCACAGATTATGTCTGCGAATAGATCCTCGGTGTAGTACTTTGTAACATCACCCACAACAAAACCACAGATGATGTCTGCGAATAGATCCTCGGTGTAGTACTTTGTAACATCACGCAAAACAAAACCACAGATGATGTCTGCGAATAGATCCTCGGTGTAGTACTTTGTAACATCACCCACAACAAAACCACAGATGATGTCTGCGAATAGATCCTCGGTGTAGTACTTTGTAACATCACCCACAACAAAACCACAGATGATGTCTGCGAATAGATCCTCGGTGTAGTACTTTGTAACATCACCCACAACAAAACCACAGATGATGTCTGCGAATAGATCCTCGGTGTAGTACTTTGTAACATCACGCAAAACAAAACCACAGATGATGTCTGCGAATAGATGCTCGATGTAGTACTTTGTAACATCACCCACAACAAAACCACAGATGATGTCTGCGAATAGATGCTCGATGTAGTACTTTATAACATCACCCACAACAAAACCACAGATGATGTCTGCGAATAGATCCTTAATTTGATATTTAGAAGCTACCTCTCTATGAAGCTAATTGGAATACAACATCAACTACATACAATGAGTAAGACAAAGTAGGGTTAAACCTGAGAAAAGGAACGCAACAAAACAACGAACGTGTCGGCAGAAAGCCTTCGTCAGCGAACAAAACAACAACAAAAAATGGTATATCCAAAAAAAGTTGCACTTAGCTTAGATGTAAAAATATAGCACAAAGTATAAAACACAGGAACTGCGAGAACATATTTAGAAAATAATCCAATTGTTGGGGAAAACAAATCTATCAGAATATAGCAAAAACGAAAAATAAATATGCAGAGATAACTGGTATGCTGGTAAATTTAGGCACTTTCAGGGAAATAAGTCCTATTTGATTTTATAAACAATCCTGGGCAAAAAAACAAAAAAACCTTTAAAAAATTTGAAAATTCTAACACTGGACAATGGTAAAAAGGAAATGATGTGAATATTGATTAAAAGCTATTGACCGATATCCCGGGATCCCTTAAACTAGAAAACCTAAGGAGAGAGCATTATCAAAACTCGTCTCTATTGGTGGCTAAAAACAATTAGCTCTCTCAATAAATGCCAAGATTGCTCCAGAGCTGGACAGTGTACGGACGAACAATTTCGCCTGAACAAAGGATGTTAAATGGTCCCCAAACACACAAAAAACAAACAAACAAAACAACTAAAATAGAATAATAATATACGCAGCAGTCTTTATTGATCTCAAGCAGGTTATGATAGAGACTGGGTAAATAGAGTCTGGGGGAATAGAGTCTGGGTCAATATAGTCTGAGTCAATAGAGTCTGGGTGAATATTGTCTGGGTCAATAGGGTCTGGGTGAATAGAATCTGGATTATAGAGTATGGGTGAAGAAAGCCTGGGTGAATAGAGTCTGAGTGTATAGAGTCTGGGTGAATAGAGTCTGGGTGAATAGAGTCTGGGTGAATAGAGTCTGGGTAAATAGAGTACGGGGTAACGTATTGTTCTGTGAAACAAACGGTCAAGGCTGCTTATCAAGATGTACCCATTATTAACTTTCTTTATCACTGCTCGTACTATCTTCTCCAAAAAAAAAAACCCAATGTTATTTCATCAAGACCTCATGGGAGAAGTTCTCTTAATAGTTTTTGTTAATGATTTGCGCCCTATTCTTAACTTTATCAAAAACTTACCGCACGAGATACAGGAAGAGAAGGCACTATTTAGTAAATGGTTTTACTTACAAGAAACCATTATTTGTTCTTTTTAATCCATTTGTAATTTATAAAACACTTAAACATATGTGAAATAAATGCTGTATCTTTTATTTTAAGCACATTTAATTTACTTGATGCCCTTAAAATAATAGAAATAATACCATCATTAAAATCCGAACATATTTAAATTCAATCGTTTCTTTAGCGTTATATGGTCAGCTAAGCTTATTCTAATATATATTTTTACCATAAGATTATACGAAATATAATCACGTAAATACAATTTTTTTCCACTTCACTTCAATTATAGTACAGATTTATTCTTAGCCGACATCAAAATCTTCAGCTTTTTGTCAACGTTGCCATAGTTTCCCGTGTCTTTAAAAAAAAAATCGATTTTATTTGTGGTCGGTATTTCTGTGACACTGTGAGCATCTTCCACTTTTTTGGCTCTTCTGATGCTCCAGTGATGCCCACATAATTCCCCATTGATGCCCACATGATGCCCCAGTGATGCCCAGATGATGCCCCAGGGATGCCCACATGATGCTGTGCAGTGAGCTGGTTGCTTGCTTTTCCAACATGTTTGGGATTTGTCAGTTCCATTCCTTAAATAGGAATCGATTGCTCCAAATTATTATTAGGTTGGGTTGGACACGTTATTTTTCAACATCCAAAGCTTCCATGAAACATGTAGTTCTTGCCATATGTACAGGTTCATAAAAGTCTCTGTGGCCATCTAGACACACTTCTGACTCATTGTTAATCTCTTGCAAACGTGTATGCATCATCAACAACCCCGTTGGTGCAGTATTACCCAAATGTCATTATTGTTTTACTTTCTATTGACTTAAAACAATCCCCTGTTCAGCTAAAGCACGACCGTCACATGACTCAATGGAACACAAAGCATGGCTCAAAGACCACTTTCGTTAAGATTGCCTCGAGGTGTCGGTGGCAGGTGCCCGACAACGAAAGCTACCTACGCGGACTCGACCCACTTAGGGATCCTAACTGACGACCTCATAACATAGCCGCTTAAACCTAAACGCAGACTTATTTGATACCAACTTCGGTTGTGACAGACAGACCCGGAAACCCGTTTTAATCGTTTATTTTATGGTGACGCCCGGTTGATGAGTCTTGTCAGTGATGTGCTAACAAGGGTTGTAAGTGCTTGTGGTTATCTGACTAATGATACATTAGTGAGGGGTATCTTTCGTATGAGATCTCCTCTTGGCACTCAGTCTAGGTATTCTTTTATTAAGCCAAATTACCACAAAGACAAAATATCCTATCTATATACATATGGTATAGACTGAAACAAAGTGTTTGTTAAAGGAGAAAATAACTACAAGTATTTATTGAATAATAAAATTTACATATTCCTCCGTAATACACTCTTGGTAATTAATATATATACATCAAATGGAAGTTATCCAATTAGAAAGGTGAATCAATACAATGCATGCGTCCCTAACATACTGGCGGTATCGTCATTATTTGTGCTATATTGCTAAAGGTTCTATGCTCAATCTTTGTGGACGTAGCCTTTATAGTTTCACTGAGGATCTCAGTGGATCACAAAGTGGGGGAGTTCCTTCTGTTCCAGAAGCGTGTCTCTGTTCCGGTCTTTGGAGCTGTTCCAAGCGTATCGAAGTTGGAGTTCCCGGTCACAGATTCCGTGGGATCTCTGCAATGGGAATGATGACTCTCCAGCGATAAATCACGGCAATAAGAGTCTCTGGATATCTAAGTCCTTCTAGTAGCTCTCATGTCAAATGTAGTTTTGTGTAGGACGTAAATCTATCTCCTAGTTCTAGCTTCAAGGAAGTCGGTCCAGTAATAGAAACCAGGTTAAAGGCAAATGATACAAAAATTGATAAGTATCCAAGCAAATCATCATAAGCTGATAAGTCCCGTTCAAACAGCAACGAATTCAGATCGATGTATGGAAGGTGACATAGCTTGTACATATACATCCAATTTGTGGCTGGATTTATAAGTCTGATCATTGTCGGCGTAAGCATATGTTGCTTCGCGACAGTGTTGGATCAAGCAAGCATTTTAATTCATGAAGTATGGGACATTGAATCATTAACAACCACTAAATTTATAGGTACATAATATTCGTATTGTCTTTTCGTTAAAAAAGACATGGGCGATTTGGAACAACAACCTACCCTCCTCATGATAGCTTGGTTGTGTGTCATAGCCCGCGGTAAAGGCAAATTATCATGCATAATATATATGATATAATATAGGCAATATAAGAATAAAATCAAACACATCGAATCCTTGCTACATAGTCAAATGATCAACGCAAGTGCAATAAAATAATATCAAAATCATGGTTGCGTACTTACTAGTACTCTAGGTAGCAGTCGCAGTTAATGATCACGCTAATGAATCGTAAATCTAGTTAATTAAAGTGTCCACAGTCAAGTGATCAGATCTTAAAAGACGTATACTTGCTAGTATCCTAGGTTGCGGTTATGTATCACGCTAATGAAGTCCCACGTCCAGTTACTCCCAGCGTCAACGGTCAAGTGATCAGATCGTAAAAGACATATTCTTGCTTGTTCTGGCTATTTATTCGTATTGGGTGATTATTCAATTGGGTTGTTTACATGTTGTTTGTTTTCCAATCCAATGATAATCCCTTTCGAAGTTGCTGGTTTTATCTTCTACCCTCACAATTTATCGGGGTGAGGTGGAGAAGCCAAATCCAAATTAGGCGTGAGCTTTCTGGTGTTGAAATGCAATAACAAGGGACGCTACTCCGCTTTGCTGCCTCCAGGGTAAAACTGAGGGGAGGCAGGGTATTATTTTCTCAAGGTTCATCGGTGAGAGGGGTTGAACACAAAATCCACGCTTTTGGAGTGTGCGGTCTGGTCTAGGAATGCGATAACACCAAGGGAAATCACTCGGGCTATGCTACTGCGGGGCAAACTGAGGGGAGGTAAGGGTTTTATTTTGCAAGAGTTTCCAAGGGCGGATATACGGTAGAAGAATTTTAAAAAAGTCCAGCATCAGATCTTCACAGTGTCGAGGCTCTGTCTTACAAGAAAATAAAACAAGTATACTGTGATTTAGATTCAAACGAAAATTTAAAAAAAAAAAATTGTTTTTGAAGAAGATACAAAAATACAAAATACAACATCAACTTAAAGAAAGGACGCAGTTTGGAAAAAAAAAGCTTATTTTTTAATAATGCAGAAAAAATAACTTATACCAATGTTGCTAGAGCCTTTACACGTTATTAACCCAGTTTCGCAATGTTACTTTTATATAGTTCAAATATTAATTTAGTAAAGGTGTATACTGTTCCCACTTACAGGGTAAGCGGGAAAGATAAAAATGTAATGGTGATATTTGAAAGATGACAAATAGAGAGATAGTGGTGTTGGATTATCGAAAGGGAAAGAGTGTTAAAAGTGGGGAAAGACTAGTTAAGGAGAGTAAAAAGGAAGAAATAACATACGATTTTCTGATAGTAATCTAGTGTCCTAATTTCTAGTAAGAGTTTGCATAAGGAGTTGGTGGAAAAAAATATGTTAAACATTGAAATGTAATTCATTTTTGAATATTTTTCAACAGAATGTTGGCCCCATGAAGAAAGTCTCGAACAGTTCACTTTGCATGAATTTGAAGGATCTTCTTACTACATCTCCATTGATGATTACACAACGGACGATGCCGCGGCCCAGATGTGTGAGGCGATATGTGGATACCTCGTCGAGGTGGATAGCCAGGAGGAAGAAGATCAGGTGCGGTCCATAATGGAAATGTATGACACAGCTGGTCTACTCATAGCAGGGACAGACAAGTACGAGGAGGGAGTCTGGGAGATAGCTAGAGACAGAAGCCCCGTAAACTACCTAAATTGGCACAGTGGAGAGCCAAACGACTATGGCCAGAATGAAGACTGCATGTGCTTCATTAAAGGTTACGGTGGCCTTTACGATTGCCCATGCACTGCGGTTCAATATTGGCAATATAAGGTTGCATGTGAAGTTAATTTAAATGAAAATGAAGAATAAATGAGGACTCAATTCATACGTTTTTATTTGTATTATTATTATTGTGTGTGGAGAATTTGTTTTTTTTTTATTTACAACGGAGAAAAACAAATGACAAAACTTTATAATAGATGATGAAGTGTTCTTAACTCTTTGTGTTTCTAATAAATAATAAGCTGTGAATTATTGAGTCAATAACGCGGCCGTGTATTACGCCAATAGTAAGATGGAAAGCCTCAGACTAAACACCAGAACGCAACAGAGCTTGCCATCGTGGACATTAATGAGTTTTGCGATAACTGCCTGTTTTTTTTTTGTGTGGAGATTAATTGTGTAGCTGTTGCTATGTGCTTTATATTGTGACCTTTTTGAGTGCGTGAGATGACGCTGTTGGATATTTAAATCATTTCCATCTCCGTCTTCTTTTATAAAAAGATGTCCCGATGTCCCGGGACAGTAACTCTCTCATCTCCTCGCGACACAACTCAAACACAACTCAAACACATCCAAAAAAAAAAAAAATTCTTTAAAAAAAGATTATACACTAAATAAAAATGAAAACATTGATTATAAATTTGTTATGCATTGGTTAAGATTTCAATTCACTTCACACACATAACGTGTCGGAAAATATCCCTATTATCTAATGTTTCCTGAGACTCAAGCAGTCTTCATTAGTAAAATCCTTCGGCTCGTGATAGTACCGGTTGGTGTACTATTTGAAGTATGTGAGGGTTCTCTGTTTCTAGCGAACCCACCCACGCCAAACGCCATCTTCGCACTAGTCCGTCCCTCCTGTTATGATCTCTCATTCCGTCTCATTATGGAGTACGTGTGATTTTTTACTTCTCGATTATCAACCTCGACAAGCTACCCGTAACCGTCTCAAACAATGCGGCCGATGCCACAGCCGTGACTTATTGATTAGTAGAGATGCGGTGATCGGTCCTGCTCTATCCATAGAGAGTGAAAGCCTTTAGATGTTTCATTGTTGGTTGAAAAATCTATTGAGAAATATTCAAATTATGCAGCCGTGAGAACGCTGCCCCTAGGCAACCGTTTCGTCCAAGCCACAGCGTGAACTAGTCGCGTTGTGGAAGCCCTCTGTGGAATCCCTCTTATAGGGCGTCCGACGCTTTCCCGGGATGGGTGGGGGAAGATATTAGGACGTACATTTTTCCATCCCAACTCCTGAGAAAGTCGATCGAGTGCACTGTTTAAACGCATAGTGTCGGATCGACNCGCTATTACTATTACTATTTTTAATTTTTATCCTACATGTTGGGCAAATGTCATGTCATTATGTCAATGCCAGAGGGAACCAGGGATGGGGTGATATTGAAACCCAAAAAATCTCTGGGATTTGAACCCAGGATATCAAGCCATAATTATTGGAACTCTTTAAACAGAAATAGCATAAAAGTTCGTAAGACGCACAATGGGGTTGCAGCGGAACCACAAATGATCTAAATACAAGTAACTGGGGTATAATTTGGATCACACGTGTGGCACTGGCCGCAATCAACAAACTGATAGCTTGTCTCCAGGGGACGTTACTGCGGCCGATAGCTCGTCTCCAAGGGACGCTAGTACGGCTTCTACCATAGTACGTTTGGCTTCGTGTCTTCTTGGATAAATCTTGAGGCAAAGGTCAGCACTAGTGTTGACAATCGAGTCTGACCCTCTGGGCTCTCTAGGTCAATGCACACGCAAGTCATTGAATCCAACTTTTAAGGCTATTTAAATGTATATATATATGTATACATACATATATATATATATATATATATATATATATATATATATATATATATATATTGCAAGAATTGTAACAATTTGATGAAATAAAAATTTTACCTGGCCAATGGCCGACACGGGGTAGCAGATGACAAACAACAGCAGAAAAACCATGTGTTTATGATGAAAAATTAGAAAGAAAGAAGCTATGGGCTATTGCAAAGTTGTCTTTTAAAATTAAGTTTCCTTAAAAGCTGATTATTATATCTCTGTCATTGAGTGTGGAGTTGTGCTTAATCATTGATCCAATCGATGACCACTTGACCTACCCAGTAGCATATCTGCCACACTCTTGACCTTCGGGTGGCATATCTACCACTCTGCTGATCTACAGGTAACATCTCTGCCACTCTATAGACCAAACGGTGGCACATCTGCCACACTCCTAACCTTGACCTCACGGTAGAAAATCTGCTACTCTCCTTACCTACAGGTAGCACAAATCCCGTTTGGAACGCATGTGTTTTAGTTGATGAGCTGTTAAAAATAAATAAACTCCCACTGAACAAAAAAATCACATGATGGGAAAAATTGTTGTGTGATCGCTTCAACGGAACGCTCAAGATGGTGTCGAAGTGTGTTGCCCACGTAGATATCTAAAAGAGCTCGACGTCTATTGTGATCTAGTAGTTTTCAGAACAGGACCACTTCGTACTGTGATTTACATTTTTTTGATAAATAGCAAGAAGCACAGGATACGCAAATCATTTTTTTTTAAGGGAAACAAACTAGAGGGTAACAGATAATTATAACATGTTTTATTCTGGTTTTCAATTATTTTTTCTTTAACCATCACAATGGTTACTGAAACAAGCAATTTTTAGATCAAAGGAAAGTTTGAAAACGCGGCCATTTTGCGCTTCTCTTTTGATTGATGCTGTTGCTGGCCATTACGATTCCATTACGAAAGTTGCTTAATTAATCAATTTTCCAGTAGATTTTAAAATCTTCCTTGTGTATAGTTAAACTTTTATCGAATATTGACAATTGATTGGTTCTAAATATGTTGTTTTGTTAAACATATCAACTGTACTTTGTACTTCTAATTAGTGGTCTTGTAGGTTAAGATATATATTTTTTGAGTGGTTCTCAGTCTTTGGTAGAGACCGACCGAAAGTGATTTTCTGATTTCGGCCGAAGCCGAAAAAAGGCCGAAAGTTAAAAATGACTTTCGCCGAAAAGAAAATATTTAGATATTTTGAAATTCGTTCCCGCATACATTCTGCATACATCGAAAATGATGGGGAAAATATAAACATCTAATATAGGGGTCTCAAACTCGCGGCCTGCGAGCCATTTGGGAACCGCAAGACGATATTTTGCGGCCCACTACAGGACAGAAAAATTTAGTGTTAATGCACCGGCGCGTTTCCCCCATTCTCATATCTATAACGTGATGTTTCTATATATTTTTGTATGATGATTATAATGGTAAGAACCGTTTTAAAATCGTACTAAAAGTTTTTAGTTTACGGCTTTTTGTGAGACAAACATGGCAAAGAGTGGGGCTTTGAGAAAAGTTTGTAAAAGTAAGTTGGCCGGTAATGCACAGTCATAATTGTGTAAATCGTAGCAATCTGATTCATTATCAAAGGATCCATATCAATGTTCCCTTTAAGCTGCGAGGCTGGGCGGCCGCGCAGCTATCTCACAGACGCCACGCAGCAGTTTTGAGTACCGCGCAGCGAATTTCCATGTAACTGTGTGTTTGTGTTTTTGGGCTGTAAAATTTTGCACATAAAAAAATGGATGCTGTAAAACTTTGCACACAGCTGTATGATAAACAAGCTCAAATTGAATGATGAAAAGACTGAGCTGATCCCCATTGCCACTGCTCAGAAAAAAAAAATATGTAAAAAAACAACAACACATCACTTACTCTCTCAGGTATGCAGATTGAGTTTGCTCATACAGTGCGAGACCTGGGTGTCTATTTAGACAGAACACTTACTATGGAAAATCATATTAACATGATTTGCAAGGCCTTTTTCCTAGAGCTGCACAGGATTAGTCATATCAGAGCTTTCTTAACGTTAGATGCATCAAAGAGGCTGATGTCTGCATTTGCGTTATCACGTATGGACTACTGCAATGCTCTCATGGTGGGTCTCCCAGCTACGCTCCTGGATAAAATTCAAAGAGCACAGAATAATGCGGCTCGCTTTGTTCTTCGCAAACGCAAGTTCGACCATGCTAAAACACTTCTGAGAGAGCTGCACTTGATGCTGGTCCGCGCTCGCATAGAATACAAAATTGCAACTTTGTGCTACCGCTGCTTACATGACCTGGCGCCGTCTTATCTCAAAGCACTCATGACGCCTTATGTACCCACTAGAGAGCTCCGCTCATCCGATAGTGGCAAAATATCGATACCGTGTGTTCGCTTTGAGACTTACGGAAAGCTAACTTTTGCATTTGCCGGCCCAACAATTTGGAACGCACTTCAAGTCGCTCTCAGAAACAACCAGACACTGGAGTCCTTTAAAACCGATTTAAAAACACATCTATTTCGCAAACATCTTCTGGGGTGATGCTATCTACCATCTTTTCCAGTTAATGTATATTGGCCTGTGTTGGTTATGGTTGAAACGGGATGAAAGACTTTGACTTGGTATGCTCGTATGTAGTTTTATATTGTTGCGTCTGTTTTTTAAATGTGGTAAATTTCAGATTGTTTTTATTTCTCTTTATAATATGGTTGACTTTGCACCGCGCTTCGAGCTTTTGGGGATGAAGCGTGTTTTTCAAATAAACTTTATTATTATTATTATTATTATTATTATTATGATTTTGCACACGAACCAACAAACATTAGAGGGAACATTGATCCGCATTAAAATTGTCACTAGTATTTACGAATGAGGTAAATTCCGAGCCTATCAGCTTTGTCATTTTCTAAATCTTCTTCTTATGCCTTTTTACCCAGTCTGGGTCTCTACATTTTTTAGACTTCAAAACACAGACAGCCACTTTTCTGCTTTTTGCTGACCCTTTCTCCTTTCATGTGCAGGATGCCCCACACCGGGAGCTGAATTGAAAACAGACAAGCATGGAAATTTTGTTTCATTGCCCTCCAACTTTCCAAAATTTTTTAGGTTGTTAAAGCGGATCATACGTCTTTTTGGAAGTACCCATCTGTGTGAATAGCGCTTTTCCACTATGCACTTTAACACGTCAAAGTTAATGGCCAAACTTACTGATGAGGATCTTCAAGCGATACTGAGAGTCTTATTTGCTT